TCCAGCTATTTTTAAACTTGAAAATAAAAGTGTTATTAGTGGCAGATTATATATAACATAATATAATTGTTATCTGCCCTACAAAACAAAAGTATTCTATTCTCTGCATTGTGAAGTGCAAAAGAGTTCTAAAAATACGGTCTAATATACATCACAAATATAATGGAGAGCACTAAGAAAGCAAGGAATAAAAGTAAGGCATAAAAGACTCATTATCATCACTTTATCAGCACATCTCATTGGGACTATTAGATGAAGTAAACACAAGAAGCCAGTAATAAACAAATGGACAGCACTTCCAGCTCCAAAAAAACACACATATCTTACAACTTCCAAAATTGTCAAAAAGCATTAAAGTAATGAGACTTTAAGAAAATGCACTGGTCTTTGATCTGTCTCCTGAAATTTAAGTAGAGAACTGGTCACTCCTCAATGAACATCAAGTTACTAGGAGTTAAAAATTCAGAATACTCCATGGCAAGCATTCAAAATCTCAAAACGGGCCAAATCTGTTCTTTCTTATCACCAGGACCAATATCTAAATAATTTTATTTAAAAATGAATGCCCATACTTCCAATTTGCCTGCTGTTCAGCAACCTTAAGAATGCACAGATGTTTTTTCTTTCACAGCTATGACAATCACAGGGTTGTGATAACTCTGAAACAGAGTTCTACAGTCATTCAGAGCTGAAATATTGAGAAAGACAGCAATTATTATAGAGCCACTAAAGATGGGAACGTTTCAAGTTTCTAAAATATACATGTAAACATGGATGCTGAGTTTGACTCTGGCTTGTTCAAGGCATAGCAGAAGTATGTCACTTCTGAGATTGAAACTGTGTCACAGGCCATCTTGTTAGACATAAGCCATCAAATTTAACCCAGCTATCATTATAGTGAGTCCAATAATTTCTGTTGCGTGAAGTATATGTGTAACAACTTTACGGTATTGACTGGAACCCTTTAGGAGAAATAGAAGTCTCAATTTCCTTCAATAGTTAGCATTACACCTTCTAACTAATAGTTCTCAGCATGTCTGCAATCAAGAATTCAAAGAACTCTTCATGTAGCCCAGTTCACTAAGACTGGAAGACATTTATTTGTATCAGTAACAAGCAATTCAGATTTCAATACCTTGAGAAGTAGGCAGAACTGTCTAAGACTTTCAGACTAAGCAGTTGAGAAGATGCCTTTATTAATTTTGGTGAGGTTTTTGATCATCCCCCTCTGTTTAGCTCTAACTTTCTCTCTATTCCACTTCTGTGTCCCTTAGACATTCACTGCCCCATTTCTCTGCACTTTCTTAGATTTCTGTTTCATTCCACCTATTTTTGCTTATATAGCCTCCTGTCTATGATTTTTTTCCTTTTTCTGTATCCTACCATGAATTTTCTCAGTGACAAAAATAGACACACTACCTAGACTTCCGTTCTGTTACTTTAAACAATCCATATTAAATTCATTCCTCACCTTCACACAGTGCTTAAAGCCCATTGTAAGCCCTGAGAATAGGTTTTCTCCAGTTCCACAGGAAGGTGAAAAATACCAGGCTTCATTACCATTAAGGACAAACTCAGATTTTCTTGAGAAAATCACTAGAAAGAGGACACCATTTTAACTAAAAGCTGCTTGTAGCTAAATTCTACAGAAAATAATCAAAGCCAAAAGACTTAAGAAAAAGAGAAATTTATAGTCATAGTTAGGTACTGGGAAACAGAAAATCTAAAAGGAAATAATTCAGGGGGGAAAAAATGCTAAACACCATTAAATTTCCACTAAAGAAGCTGGAATACCTGAATGCAAAACCCAACAAAACGTGGCAGGATAGACTGCAGTTGTGCTTTAGGAATGTTTCCCTTTTTTACTGTTTGCCAAAAGAGAAATGAAAGATCAGCAACTGCTTCTACAATACTGCTTCATGACCAAATGAGATATGTCTTGTCAATCAGACATTTGAAATACACACTGATTAGTGTGCCAGTATGATATGTTTATTTTAATCTGAAATTGCTCAGATGAAGTATGCGGGGAAAATATTTGAGCTAAACCAATCTAAAGAATGAAAACTCCCTACAGAGTATAGGGAAAGTGCAAGGGACTTGAAAAACTGCAGTGTCAAGTCTTGGCATATTTGAAAAAGCCAGGTAATATATTTATGTAGGATTGTAACCACTTTGGTATCTGCTGGGTAACAAGTCACCCACTGAATATGAGTAGAGTGATACATTACAAAAGGCAAGTCCAATCTAAAAAGTAGGACTAGAGATGCCATTGGGAACACGCTTTTCTTTTTTTTTCCCCCTTTTCATTTCTATTTCTTATTTTTGATCAAGGTATGTGGTCAGCTGCCATTTACCACAGTACTGCGGTTCTTCTGACACAATATAATGACAAATCTGGTATACAGCTTTTTTATTAGATATTCTCACACAACAAATTTCACCACTTTGCCACAATATATTCCAGGGTCTCATTTAGAATGTTTTCCATAAAAACTTATAGAATCTATATTTTAGAATGAATGCAAGAAAAATTATCTTCATAAGCACGGAAGTGGACAGTTCCTGAAGTCAAACCACATCAGGCCTGCCAGCTGGCACAAGTCACCACACCTCCACTGAAATCACAGGCTTGCAGGTGACCAGCCCATCTAAATTAACACAACACTACAGACATGATCCAAAAGTTATGGATTACATAAGTTAAAGAAGAGTTTCTAGAATTTAAGTTTCATAGCATACAGATATCCTGAACTTAGTGAAGTTTGAAACTTTAAAATGTGGGTAATTCAACTTAACAAAGGTACATAAGTTCTGGTTCCTATTTTTATAAGAATAGTAACAGTATGAAATAAACTTGTTGGGAGGGAAATTGTAGAAAACCAAGGAAAATCATACCAATCATACACTCATACCAATCATACCAAGAACAAGAAAGAAAAGGGGTTTTTCCTTTTAGTTAGCCCATTAGTAGCTTTAATTTTGTCATTAATTAATTCATTCCAGTGTCTGACAAATACTTGATGTGCTTTCTGTTTGTTTGATAATGATTCAGTTTTCTCTGTTTATTTGGGTGATGGCAAATAATTGCCTAATTCAGTCCTGCTAGCCTGTTCTCAAACACAACCAGTGCATAGCATCCCCCTTGCCCAGAAAATGAAATTCCTTTGATATTTAGGAAGGGGGTGAGCAGAAATTTGTGCATCCTGTCTGGTATCTGGATCTATTTCTTTTGCTCTCAGCTCAGATGAAATCTTAGCACAAGTATGTGGGTTCAGTAACACAACAACCACCCCATCATGCAATGACAAAACATTTTTCTTCCCTTTTTAAGAACCCCGTTGAAAAATTTCATAACTAAAATCAACGATGAACATTTTTTAAACTTCAAATTGAAGGAAGATGAGGAAATTTCAGCTACATAATGGCCCAAGCAAACTTAATTCTACCTATCTGTGCACATGCTGTGATACAACCTTCATCTATGCTGACTTTATGCATCTTTTTTATTTCCCAGAAGAATGTCCTGTTTGGAGTACTGAATGGGTACATTTGGGATCAAACTATTGCTGCACATAATCTGGAATTTCTTAATTTCTAGGTGCTTGACTTTGCAGGCTCAACACAACTTTTCCATTTAGAAGTCTTAGATATATAATTATTCAGATGGTTTAAATGTGCTTTTTGCTTACAAAATCTTTTTTTTCTGTTTACATATCATACTCTAGCCTAAATAAATGCTAAGACAAAGGTCAAGCTGGCTGGTAGCCCAGAATGTAGTTGTTACCAAATTGACAGGGACCACCTTCAATTCATTGAAATGTCTAAATATCGTACTTGTGTTATAACTATATTTTAAAAGCCTGTCTTTACTGAAAGAAAAATGGAGCAGCTTTAGAACAGCATAAACAAGTTGCTGGCTGAAATGAGAACTGAATGTCAAAGTAGGGTCTGACTTACCACAGCTCTCCATTACTGTAAAACACCAAACACTTAAGGGCAGGAAGTATCATCATGTTACCATGTAAATAACTAATGGGCTTAGTTTATGTTAACAACTAACTTAGGAACTTACAATAAAAAAAACACCAAACAAAAACATGGCAAAGTGTGTTTTTAACTTTTCCCCACAAGTAACTAATTCTGCTGCTTCTCAAGGTGACTTTTCCTTTTTTTTTTTCTTAGAGAATCTTGCATGAAGTCTGATAAAATGTATGGTATATGTGAACACAGTACAATTTAAAGATGGCCTGCAAAGGCAAGTAAATATGGCAATATTTCCTAACCTGCAGAAGATCTGAAAGGTGCAAGGTTTGGTTTAAAGTTTTCTTCTACTTTTTTCCTTTTTGCTTTTAAAACTTTTGGAGTTTCAAAGTCATGTCTTGCTTTTATCCATAAGAGTGTTGGAGGGGAAGACGACTAGAACAGAAGTCCCCCTCAGTTCCCACCTGAAGCAGCAGGGTGATGAGTGATTAGCATTGAGCCTTTTTTTTTTCCCTTCTGGCTTTCTGCCAGCAGCTTGAATTAAATGTTTTAACAACAGCCAAACAAAACGGGAGTTTTACATAGTCTTATTAAAAATGCCTTTCTCCTCTTAAATGCCAGTTTCTTGTGACAGATGATGGCTAGAGATCATGGCTTCATCTCTGTTTTTCCAGCTACTTATAATTTTCTAGCAAAAATAATATAGACAGGACCTGATACACACATAAAAGCAAACAAAACCTTTGCAGAAACTTACATCTGACTTTAAAACCAAAGCAAGATCTTTAGACTTCCCTAACGTCTTTTAAAATATGTAAAAGGCATTATAGTTTTGTCTCCTTTTCATGCCACTCCTTAGGTCTAATCAGGATATTACTACGGCAAGATAGGCAAATCCCAGTGACATGCCATATGAAAAGCATAAACATGTCAAAATTTAAAATGTACTAGTGCTGACATTCTGGCCTTACTAGATATTAATAAAATTACAAGAGTGTGGGGTGAAGGTATTATACCTGGTCATGGCTGGCTTCAATGGAGCTTCCGATACCTTGGAAAGTCATCTGCACAGGAGACAGTGTCAAACAGGTCATACACTCTTTGCCATTTTGTCTATCACTGTAGTGTACCTATAACAGAATAACATACGTAATCTGCTAAACACCAGGTTTGTACAAGGGAGTCATGCTAAAATACTGTCCCTTTTCAACAAGTCTGTAAGAAGAATTCCAAACATTTACATTGAATTCATCTTTAATATAAAACAAGGAGTGTCTAAAAGAGTCTAGATAGTCACATGCTGAACTGTGGTAAAATTTTCCTCAATATGTCTGTTGGATGGTTTTTGAAGTGCTGTGTTCTTCAGTTTCTGAGACCTTTGAGACCGAATTCAAGATATTGTATCTACATAAGAACTAGTTTCAATTTATAGTTTCCAGCCTATATGTAATTTTTAATGGCATATTTTACCTTAGTTAAAAAACACCCATGTAAATCATTATACCTCCAAAAACTTGGCCATAATAGTTCAACTTTTTGAATTGTAATTGCATTTCTACTAAAATCCACTAACTCTTTTGACATGGCTGATATGGTAGATTTCAATTGAATCAAAATGACAGATAAAATGGAGAAGAATTTACATTCTTGAGATGTCTAGGCTATCCTTTTCTAAGAGTAACTCATTCCCTACTGGGGTCAAGATGTGCATGTTGAACCTGAATCCTGAGTGAAATACAGAGGAATTCAAGTAGTGCTTCTACTTGAATTATTCTCCTTGTCTTCAGGTTCCCTTCAGATGGTTCTTAAATCCCCTAAAGAAAGGATGGATTTTAATATGTTGAGACAAAATGAAATTAAATGTTGCCAGTGTTTTATTATTAAGAACAGGTTGCCACTCATGCTGAATTGTTGAAATATTACAGTTCTCTATGTAGCTTCTGACTTCTAGACAGGCAGATCAAGCACTTTGTTCAACAGGAGAGGTGGAATTTAGTTTATGGTGGTAATTTACATTGACTATGTGACCCCTGTCAGAAGTGGAAAAAGAGATCAGCTCTGTTGGAGACAGACCTTTTATGTTAGTATCTATTTACAGCTGTACAGCTCTCAGGCAAAAGGTACATGATAAAGACTCATCTTGACATGCAGTCTACGAAATTAGACTTTATTATTTCTGAAGTCAACTAGGAACCATATTTGGTTTATTCCTGAGAAAACAGTTTAGTGACATAGATGACACTGTGTGTATTAAATCCCCAGTGCCTAACTCTTCTCTGCCACAGATGCAAATTGGGAAACTTCAGCTGAAGTAAATCCAGTGCAAAACTGGGTAAGTGAGAGGAAAACCAAGCTGGTTCTATGTTTCAGAATTATTTTACTGACAACACATCAAAACAGTTTTGCTGTGGCCAAAAGTAAGACACTAAATGCAAAACTCTTGCACTCTGTGTAGAAATATTGACTTCACTCAGCCCTTCTTAAAGCTTTCTGGATTATTCCTGTCTCTCAACCCCCACAGTATGAGCCCACTAAATTGCTTGTGGCTCTCTGCCAGAAAAGCCATACTACTTACTTAGAAACCACAAGAGGCCCCTTCACATATACAGTGGTTTAACTTTGATTAATTGAAAGAGGTATGAAGGTATGAAATTTGGCTGGCAAATATAAACTGAAGTTCTTTAAATGTCAGGGACTACTGTTATGACAAAAGCTTATCAAGCTACCACGACCAGTTGCAAGCTAGATATTCTGCTGAGTATGTGTTGTGGGAATATGATGTAGAGAAATGGGGCAGCAAAGCAGGAATAGATGATTACTTACTGCAGATATGACATCGCAAAAGGAGCAAAATCTGGTGACCATGGAAAGCACATATGGAGAAATGGGAAAATGGCACTTTCTGAACTGTATAGCATGTTTGTAGGCTTATTTTTAGTGAGAATGATATGAATAAGGTTAAAATTCACTAATGTCTACTGGAATAAAGCAAGACTAACAAGCTGAAAGAACAGGAGATATCCAGAGGAAAACGTATTAGTATTACATGACACTGTTATCTGCAATAGCAGACTTGACACACCCCATTTAGAGTCCCACACTGAAATAGCAATAAATTCAGAATTTTGGTAGGCTTAACTTTCCCAAAGGTATTTCAAGATGCACTTTTGGCTTCATCTCAATGTATCAAGGCCATTACTTTGTAATTTCTTAGACAACGGTCCTCTAATTATCTCTTGCTCTGTTGAAGCTCTTCAGTTGGACCAAAATACATACCTTCTATGTTAATGATATGAACAGTGATACAAAAAACAGAAGACTAGACTTTGAATGGGGACAGAATAAAACTTTGTCCTTTCATCAAATGTCTCTAGTCTACAGATTTGTGCAGTCAGCAGAAATATTCAGACTTCTACATTTGGCATGCATATGTGCAACTTCCCAGTAATCCTGTTATTTGTCAGTCCAGCTGCTACATTCTAAAAGTGTGTTATTCCTTTCTTCTTCAAGTGTGATCTATGGTCCAAAGTTTGGGTGTTTTTTTTGGTCAATCAAAAGTGCTAGGTATTTGCCTATTTGAGCAGACTGTCCAAAATAGGCACTCAGAAAGAATCAAATAGTTATCAAATAGCCTGAATAGCAGCAGATACATCTAGGTTTTCAGCCAGCAGTATGCTGCAAATATTTCAGTTTATATGTCCATGCTATTATGGCTGAGTGTGGAAGGAATCTGAATGTCTATAAAACTGGTATAAGAATATCATATCCTCTAAGACAGGGGAACATGAGGGCACAGCAAATACTTGAATCAGTATCTGTGATCAAGGAGTGGAGGCTGAAGGCTGGTGGCCAAGTGCTCTGACGGTGATTACATAGCCATTATTGAGATTCTTGATGACAATAATAGTAATACTTTTCTAAGTTCTTCAGTGCCTTAAGAGTCAGAATTGCTTAACTGCAGCTCATCTCACCATAACTGTTAGGCAGGTAAGGACACTTTGTAGACAGACGTTAAATGGCTCATCCAAATTCACTCGGCACTGGTTGGAGGGAATGACAGTGCTGGCACTATAACCCATCATTAAGGCCTCTGGCCTAACCACAATTGATCATTTTCTCCTTCCATATATTAAGGAGGTAAAAACAAAAGAGTTGTGAAAATAATTACTACCTATGTCCAGGATCTAATTTTCAGGCTTCAGTTTTTTATAAATAAGGGACAATCACAGATTAGCTCAGTGCATTTTAAGGATTTAAGAGAAATGAAATTTCACTCATTAAAATACAGAATGTTTTATTTAGATAACATAGAAGCAGAGATTTGAAAGAACAGCATTAGGATCTGGTTAGAAAACCCTGGCCAGCATATAGATGTCTGTAGTAAGGGTTGTGCAAGTTTCTGAGCAAAATGCAAGACTCCAGCCTCAGCCTGTTATGAGTGATTTACACGTAATTCTCCTCCAAGGTATGTCTACACAGCACAAAGCGGTGCCACCACAAGATCCTGGCAATAACTCTAAATGAGCCTACTCATTTAGTGGGAAAAGCATAGAGCACTGCCAGCTTTTCTCCTGGGTTACTACATCTACCTGAGATAAATCATGTATAGCCAGCTCAGGAATCCCAAACACAGCACTCCACGAAACCTCCGTACATGAAACACAAAGTGCATCCCAGGCATCAAAATAAGGAAATAAATTCTACAAGTGATCTTTTCCGCAAGCGCATGCCATGGATTTACTCATACATGTATGCTTTCACGTTCAATATTCAGACAGAAACTGTATATTCTTTCACAGATTGCTTCAGTCAGGAACAAGCTGCATGGTGTATGTATGTATGGAGGGGTACCACTAACTGCTGTGCATACAGAAATGTATTCGAAGGTCTGAATCCATTTGACAGCTATGTTGAAATTTGGCCCTTGTTTTTAATATTTTAAATTACTGAAGAGATGCAAATATTTTGATGGGCATTTATAGCTGCACATAAAGGAAGATATAAGATGAATGTTCACAATGTTACGACTGAATGTGGAATGGCATAGCCAGAATTCTTAACTTTACATGTTATTTTATAAAGGAAAAACTAAATTACACTGCATAAATCTGCATAAGAAATTACATTTAAGGTTGTTTCTATCATAAAGCTGCTCCAAGAGCAGGAAATTCCTATTTCTTTCCTATTTGTATAAAGATGACTCTTCAATCTACCTTTACTATAACACCGTTCCTCAGTTGCAAGCATTCTGATAGAGACTGCAAAAAATACTGCAGGATTCATCTTGCAATAAGCTACTTTAAACCACTGGATCAATATGTAATTCAGATAATGGCCACAGTTAATCTGCATAAACTATTCCGTACATACAGTGTCCCTATCTTCAAGAATGGGCTAGTCTGCTGCCTTCAGTGGGCACTTCTGAATTTGAACATCTGTACTTTTGCATGAACAAGGGCTATGGTTTACTGAGTCACAGCTGAGGAAAGCGAGAGACCTCTTGTACCATCACATAGTAGTTAAGCTTAACTGTAATATACCAAACTACTGTTAGAATCGAGCTAACTGCACTAACAAGAGTCTGAGGGGAGCAAAAATAAAGGCTACTATTTTCACACACTGCTGCTTAGATGTTCACAGTTTGAAACACAACTTCTGTCTGGACAAACACTTTCTTTCTTGAAGGTTTAATAACTTACAAAAATAATACGAATTACCAAAAGAAAGAAGTCATCTGTGACACTGGAGTTCAAGTTTCCAAACCAAAAACTACTCTGAGTCAAAGCATCAGCAGGAGTCTTAGAATGCTAGACAGAAATAAACTAGGTAATAAAATGCCATTATGTTCAGCAATGCACAAATCTTCTGGATTGACAAGCCTGGACAATTTTGTTAGAACAAAGGATGGTATTCCTTTAAATCTGACCCTTAAAGGGAGAGCACCCAATTTAGTCCTGAGTTTACAGAATACTTCCCAAGATTTTACTTAGGCTGCTCTGGATTTATAGTGACAAGAAACCTAGGATAGGTTCATAAATCAGATGTTAAAACAGTAATTTTGACTTGGACAAGAGTCTCATCTTCATCCTTTAGCATCCTGGTCAAAAGCTTGTCTTTTCCATATTGGTCT